TAGACTAAGTTAGAATAGTGAATGTATATATATGTATGAATATATCTTTGCGTGCACAAAAAAGTGTAGGACATGTATGCAGGTGTTGACTGGTGTCTAGAAAAATGTGTGCATAAAATATGTGTATATGCACGCATGTATAGACTATGTTACATTATGAATATATCTTTGCGTGCACAAAAAAGTGTAGGACATGTATGCAGGTGTTGACTGGTGTCTAGAAAAATGTGTGCATAAAATATGTGTATATGCACGCATGTATAGACTATGTTACATTATGAATATATCTTTGCGTGCACAAAAAGTGTAGGACATGTATGCAGGTGTTGACTGGTGTCTAGAAAAATGTGTGCATAAAATATGTGTATATGCACGCATGTATAGACTATGTTACATTATGAATATATCTTTGCGTGCACAAAAAAGTGTAGGACATGTATGCAGGTGTTGACTGGTGTCTAGAAAAATGGGCTTAGTCTGGTTGTCTCGGGGTATTGTAGGGGGGAAGTTCTTGAAGATGGTGATTAAAGGGCTTGAAGATCATCTAACCTGGTTAAAGTCCGGGTAAGAATTTATGATAACATATGCTGCTTGTTTTTTCTTGGTGGGGTTTGTTTTAAGCATGGTTGCGGTTGCTTGTAACCCTTCCCCTTTTTATGGGTCTTTTGGGCTGGTAGCAGTTGCGGGGTTTGGCTGTGCAGTCGTAGTTGGTCTTGGGGGAACTTTTTTAGCTCTTATTTTAGTTATAATTTATGTAGGGGCTATGTTGGTTGTGTTTGTCTACTCGGCAGCTCTTGCTGCCGATCGTTATCCTGAGAGTTGAGGGAGCGGAGGCGTGGCAGGGCAGGCAGGGGGGTATCTTCTGGGGTTAATAGCGGCGTTCAGCTTTTTTTGAAAAGAAGAATATGGGGTTTTATGGGGGCCTGTTGGAAGTGTTGAAGAGTGGGCCTCGCAGCGGGGAGATATTAGTGGGGTTTCGTGAATATATTCATCGGGGGGCGCGCTGTTAGTAATTAGTGCAGGGGCATTGCTTTTAACCCTATTTGTTGTGTTTGAGGTTACACGTGCGTTGCACCGGGGGGCATTTCGATAAAGCTTAATGTATAGAAGTAAGGGAATTTTGGGGGGGTAGGGGGGGAGTTTTTGTAATGTTATGTCCCTGAAATCAATTATGTATTTAAATTAGGACAGGATTTCGATTCATTAACATAATTTGCACAAAGAAAGAAAAGGGCACTCTCTTATGCGCCTGCGGCGCAGCTTCGCCTGCACTGTGAGATGTTGATGAAGGGGAAAAAAAAAAGACTACCCCTGGCCCCTTAGAAAGAACGCTCGGCATGCCGAGTGCTCCCGGTGATGGGTTCCACCATTCACCTATGTCACTTACGATGAACGTATGGGGGTAAATCTATTTATGTTCCTGAAATAACAGCCAAATGTCAGAAATAGTTCACTAGGTGCTATTCTTCAATCATTGTCCGTGACCTTCAATAATAGCGGGCCCCTGAATTCTCTCGTGATCAGGCTCTCACATGTTTTAAATAATTTTTAATTGAGTAATTCTGTTATTGCCTTTTCAAACATTACACTCTGAATAGTCTTACATTCGGGCTGAATGGTCAAGTGATAGTTTATGTTTCGAAACATTAATGTATTATTCTTTTACATCTAATGTGTTGGAACATGTCCTTGTGGTTTGTTAGTTTAAGGTTATATTACATAAATTTATGTTTTCATATTTTTAATGGGTTATTACATACCTATGTATATATCCACGTAGTGGATATATACATAGGTATGTGTATTATACATAGTATGTTTAAATGCCCCCCCCCGGGGGGGGGGCATTTATATGGGTGTTACATTACGGATGGAGGATAAACTGTTTGAAGAAGGGGTTTATTGCCTGTACAGTTGAAAGTCGGTGAAAGATTTGTTTAAGTTTTAGATTTATTCATGCTTGCAAGTAAGAGGTTGTGTTTTTCAAAGAGTAGTTTAATTCAGAATGCTGGCTTTGGGAGCGAGTGGTCGGGGTGTGAGTCCCTTCTCTTTGAGCAAGAGGGAGGAGTTTAACCTCCGACATTCGGTTTACAAGACCGACGCTCTACACTGAGCTACTAATGCAAAGTCATTCTAGAGCCTTATTTTCTAGTTCGCCTACAATGGGTATGAAAACAAGGAAGAGAAGGAAGTATAAGAGTGAGGCGACTTGGCCGATGATAATAAAGGGGTGTTCAACAGGCATTCCTCCGATTCAAGTGAGAATTGCTACATCTGCAATGAGGGTTCAGAATAGAAGCTGGGTTAACGGGCGGAATGTTAGACTTCGTTGTTTTGATGTATGTAGAAAGGGTACTACTATGAGTACTAAAATAGATGCTAGTAATGCTAACACTCCCCCTAATTTGTTAGGAATTGATCGAAGAATGGCGTAGGCAAATAGGAAATATCATTCTGGTTTAATGTGCGGGGGCGTTACGAGTGGGTTGGCTGGTGTGAAGTTATCTGGATCCCCTAAGAGGTTAGGGGAGAATAAGGCAAGAGAGGTGAGACCAATTAGGACGGCTGCGAACCCTAAAAGATCTTTGTATGAGAAATAGGGGTGGAATGGAATTTTATCTACATCAGAGTTGAGGCCTAAGGGATTATTGGACCCCGTCTCATGAAGGAAAAGGAGGTGTAAAATGGTGGCAGCAGCAATGACGAACGGGAAGAGGAAGTGGAAAGCGAAGAATCGTGTGAGTGTGGCGTTATCAACTGAGAAGCCGCCCCAGATTCATTGAACTAGGGTGTTTCCTACATAGGGAACAGCGGATAATAAATTAGTAATGACTGTTGCCCCTCAAAAAGATATCTGACCTCAGGGTAGGACGTAGCCTACGAAAGCTGTTATTATTACTAAGAGGAGAAGAACTACTCCAATGTTTCACGTTTCTTTATACAAGTAGGAGCCATAGTAGAGACCTCGGCCAATGTGAAGATAAATACAGATGAAAAAGAAAGATGCACCGTTGGCGTGAAGGTTACGAATTAGTCATCCATAATTTACATCTCGGCAAATGTGTGCGACGGAGGAGAAGGCTGTAGCGATATCTGAGGTATAATGTATAGCTAGGAATAGGCCTGTAAGGATTTGGGAAATTAGACATAGGCCCAAGAGTGAGCCAAAATTTCATCAAACAGAGATGTTTGAAGGGGCAGGTAAGTCAACAAGTGCGTCGTTTGCGATTTTTAGTAGCGGGTGCGTTTTACGAAGGGCGGCCATTAGAGCTCTTATGGTTGAAGCACAACAGTGGTTTTTCAAGTCGCAAGTCCAAGTTAGAGTCTTGGTAAGAGTTCATGACATTAGATGGTCTAGCTATTGGTTTTTGATTGTCCTTTGGGGGCTACTAATATTAGTTAGTTTTTTGGAAGGGGAGAGCACAAACAATAGCAAGGCATTCGTCTTGTTAAATAGACTATAAATTTGTTTGTTTAAAACATCAAGCGTTAGACTTCCATTTAATAAAGTTACTTATGGGGGCATGACTGTGTTGTTGTGTCTTTATTTCTGGTCAGGGTTGTTTTAAATGAGGCCCAGGCAGCTTTTACTAAGATTGTAACTTTATGGTAAACATTGCGGTGTTTTCAGGGCCGTTATTAGTTCTTCTTAATACCGGGCACTGCTTGAAAGATAAGTAGGGGCTCGTAGCTAAAGGGTGGTTAGGAGGGCTGAAAGGGCGAGGGTCATAAAAAATAGAGTGAGGTATGTTTTAACTAGTCCTCGTTGGGTGTTACTTGTAGTTGTAATTAAGGGGGCGTTGACGGAGGCCATTGCCTTTGGTCCTGCTTTTTCCAACCAGGTCTGGTCTGTTATTTGGGAGGCAATAAGTTGGCCGAAGCCTAAGGTGAGTTTCGGGGAGAGGCGGTGGATAATAGGAGGAAAAAATCCTAGTAAGTTTGAGAAGAGGTGAGCTGGGCGTTTAGTAGCTGGTTTTAGTTCTTGACCAGTTAAATTTCCTAGGTCGAGGGCTAATAAGAAGCCTAGCAGGGTAACGGCTAGGGCAGCTGTTTTTACTTCATCTGGTATAGTTATTTCTGGTGTTTTTAGGGGAGTAATATTTGAGGTAATCAATAGTCCAGCGAGGATGCTTCCTCAGGCAAGGCGTTTGATTGGATTAGTGATAGCAGGGTCAGTTTCGTTTATTTGAAAGATGGATCGAGGGGTTCGTGGGTTTCCTAGGGCTACGAAGATGATTAGGCGTAGACTGTAAACGGCGGTAAATATAGTGGCAATGAGGGTTAAAATAAGGGCTCAGGCGTTAAGGTGAGAGTTAGAAAGGGCTTCAAGGATGGCGTCTTTAGAAAAGAAGCCTGCTAAGAAAGGGGTGCCTGTAAGAGCCAAGCTGCCAATACCCAGGCAAGTTGTTGTGACGGGGCATAAAAACCGGGCTCCGCCCATTATTCGGATGTCTTGTTGGTCTCAGAGGTGGTGAATGATTGAGCCGGAGCATAGGAAGAGCATGGCTTTAAAGAAGGCGTGAGTGCAGATGTGGAGAAAGGCTAGTTGGGGCTGATTAAGGCCGATGGCAACTATTATTAGTCCTAGTTGGCTTGATGTTGAGAAAGCAACAATCTTTTTAATATCATTTTGGGTAAGGGCACAAGTGGCGGTGAAAAGGGTAGTTAAGGCCCCTAGACATAAACAGATAGTTAGGGCAACAGGGTTATTTTCCATTAAGGGGCTTATTCGGACTAATAAAAAGATGCCTGCAACTACCATTGTGCTGGAGTGAAGTAGGGCGGAAACAGGGGTGGGGCCCTCCATAGCGGCGGGAAGTCAGGGGTGAAGGCCGAATTGGGCAGATTTGCCAGTAGCAGCAATAATTAGGCCGATGAGGGGAAGAGTAAGGTCGAGGCCTTCAGAGGCTAAGAATATTTGTTGTATTTCTCAGGAGTTTAGATTTATGGCTATTCATGCTATTGCGAAGATTAGTCCAATATCTCCAATTCGGTTGTAGATGACGGCCTGGAGGGCCGCGGTGTTTGCGTCGGCTCGCCCGTATCATCAGCTAATAAGGAGGAAGGACATAATTCCTACTCCTTCTCAGCCGATAAATAATTGAAATAGGTTGTTTGCGGTCACTAGAATAATTATTGTGATTAGGAAGGTTAGGAGGTACTTAAAGAATCGGTTAATGAAAGGATCTGTGTGCATGTACCAAGATGTAAATTCGAGGATGGATCATGTGACATACAGGGCAACTGGAGTAAAGATGATGGAGTATATATCAAACTTAAAACTAATGTTCACATCAAATGTCAGGGTATTTATTCATGTTCAGCTGGTAATGATTGTCTCTGCCCCTTCGTCTAGAAAGAGACATAGGGGGACAAGGCTAATAAAGAAAGCGGTTTTTACTGCTGTTTTAACTTGTGAAAGGGGTCAGTTCGTGTCTCGGGGCGAGGGGTTAAGGGTTGTTAGAAGAGGAAAAACAAGAATAATAAAAATAATAATTAGGCAGGAGGTTAAGATGTGGGGAGTGGTGTACATAGCTGCTACTTGGATTTGCACCAAGAGTTTTTGGTTCCTAAGACCAACGGATGCGCTGTTATCCTTTAGAAGCCTGGGCCGAGAGGGCTTCAGAGTCCAACTGAAGTTGACGAAAATTAGCAGTTTTCGCTGTTGCGAACGCCTCTCGGTGAATAAGGGGGTTTTAACCCCTATTTTTAGAATCACAACCTAATGTTTTAATTAAACTATATCTACATGCGGTCCAGCCTCATACTAGCTCTGGTTTAAGAATGAGGAGGATCAAGGGGAGGAGGTGGAGGGCGATAAGAAGGTGTTCTCGAGAGTATGATGGGTCTAGGGCAATTATATGTGCGGGTAGTGGGCCTCGTTGTGTTATTATAAACATGTAGAGTGAGTAGCCGGCAGTAATTAAGGTACCTGCTCCGGTCAATGCCAGGGTCCATCAAGATCAGTTTAGTAGTGAGGAGATGATTATTAGTTCACCCATGAGGTTAGGTAATGGGGGCAGGGCCAGGTTGGCTAGGCTGGCAATAAACCATCAAGCTGTTATTAGAGGGAGAGCTGTTTGTAGTCCTCGGGCGAGAACTATTGTTCGGCTGTGAGTTCGTTCATAGTTTGTGTTTGCTAGGCAGAATAGTGCAGAAGATGTTAGGCCGTGGGCGATTATTAAGATAAGAGCGCCTGTGAACCCTCAAGGTGTTTGGATGAGAATGCCTCCTACTACCAGGCCTATGTGGCTTACGGACGAGTAGGCAATTAGGGATTTTAGGTCAGTTTGGCGAAGACAAATAGAGCCGGTTATAACGACTCCTCATAGTGCAAAAATAATAAAGGGGTAGCTTAGTTCGTTAGTTAAAGATTCTAAGACAGTTAGTATTCGTATCATGCCGTAGCCGCCTAATTTTAGAAGTACTGCTGCAAGAATTATAGATCCTGCGATGGGGGCTTCAACGTGGGCTTTAGGAAGTCAAAGGTGAACCCCGTATAAGGGCATTTTTACGAGGAAGGCCAGAAGGCAGCCGGCCCATCATATTTTATCGGCGTATGTTATAAGGAGCAGGGGGTTGGAAAAGGGGAGTGTTAGTAGTGAGAGAGTGCCTGTATTATTTTGAAGAATGAGGAGGGCGACTAAAAGTGGCAGGGAGCCTGCTAGGGTATAAAAGAGGAAGTATGTGCCTGCGTTCAGTCGCTCTGCTTGGTTTCCTCAACGGGTAATAAGGAATAGTGTTGGGATAAGAGTTGCTTCAAATATAACGTAAAATATAATTACTTCTGTGGCGCTGAAGGCTATAATTAAGAAAATTTGCAGGGCTGTGAGGAGGGAGATATACATTCGTTGGCGGTTAATTGGTTCGGAGGACAGGTGATTTTGACTTGCAAGAATCATTAAGGGAAGAAGTCAACAAGTTAAAACCAAGAGGGGAGAGGATAAGGGGTCTGTGGCCATATAGGGGGTTAAAAAAGATCATCCGGTTTCGGCAGTGTTTTTGAATCAAGTGAAGCTAGCTAGGGAAATAAGCAAACTGTGGAGAAGTGTTGAAGGCCAGAGTCATTTAGGAGGGGTTATTCAAATAGTGGGTACAAGTATAAGAGTTGGTGTAAGAATTACTAGCATTGTAGGAGGCTTAAGCTTTGAAGGCGGTCAGAGCCGTGGGTTCGAGCAGTGGCTGCTAATAGGGCAAGGCCTGTGCTTGCTTCACAGGCTGAGAACGCTAGTAAAAGGAGGGGGGAGGCTAAGAAATTAGTGACATCTAGTTGTAAGGCCCATAGTGAGAGTGCTACGAACAAGGAGAGTATTATACCCTCTAGGCAGAGAAGGGCGGAAAGGAGGTGTGTTCGATGAAATACCAGCCCTGCTAATCCTAAAATAAAAGTTGCCGAAAAAGCGAAGTGAGGTGGAGTCATTAGGTGGATGTGGACTTAAACCACAAGTTTTTGAGCCGAAATCAAATGTTTTTCTTAAACTAACAACCTATTCTGCCCATTCAAGGCCTCCTTGGACTCACTCATAAGCTAGTCCGAGGGTGAGGAGAGCAAGGACAATGGTGGCTCAGGTGAATGTGGCTAGGGGGGCGGGTAGTTGGTCCCCTCAGGGTAAGGGGAGAAGGAGGGCGATCTCTAGGTCAAAGAGAAGAAAGAGAATAGCTACGAGAAAGAACCGGAGGGAGAACGGGAGGCGGGCGGTTCCGAGGGGGTCAAACCCACACTCGTAAGGGGAGAGTTTTTCATGGTCAGGGGTTATTTGGGGAAGTCAGAAGGAAACAACTGCCAGGATAATAGAGAGGGTAGTGGCAATAGCAATTATTGTAGTAATTAGGTTCATTATCTTTCCTTGGATTTTAACCAAGACCTGGTGATTGGAAGTCACTCATACTATCTTTAGTACTAGAAAGATTATGATCCTCATCAGTAGATTGAGATGTAGAGGAATAATCATACTACATCTACAAAATGTCAGTATCAAGCGGCTGCTTCAAACCCGAAGTGGTGCTCGGAGGTGAAGTGAAATTGAATTTGACGTAATAAACAGACGGCTAAAAATGTTGAGCCAATAATTACATGTAAGCCGTGAAAGCCTGTGGCTACAAAGAAGGTGGAGCCGTAAACTCCGTCTGCAATTGTAAAGGGTGCTTCGTAGTATTCTATTGCTTGAAGAAAAGTGAAGTAGAACCCTAAAATGATGGTAAGAGTTAGGGATTGAATTGCTTGTTTCCGCTCGCCTTCTATAATGCTATGGTGGGCCCAAGTGACTGTAACACCTGAAGCGAGAAGTACTGCTGTATTTAGCAGGGGGACTTCAAATGGGTCAAGGGTAATCAGACCTGTCGGGGGTCAGCAGCCCCCCAGTTCTGGAGTGGGGGCAAGACTTGAGTGGTAAAAGGCTCAGAAGAAGCCTAGAAAAAAGAAGACTTCTGAAGTAATAAATAAAATTATTCCGTATCGAAGGCCTTTTTGAACCGGGGGTGTGTGGTGGCCTTGAAAAGTGCCTTCTCGGACAATGTCTCGCCATCATTGGAATATTGTTAAGAGAAGCAAGATTGTTCCCAGGGTTATAAGTGTTGTGGAGTGGAAGTGAAATCAGACTGCGAGGCCGGATGTTATTAGGAGGGCAGCGATAGCTCCTGTGAGGGGCCAAGGGCTAGGGTCTACTATGTGGTACGCGTGAGCTTGATGGGCCATTAGATGTTCTCTTGGAGGTAAAGGCTTAATAGCAATACAAATACGTAGGCTTGAATTATAGCTACAGCAACTTCTAGAAGGGTAAGGAGGAGGAGGAGAACTGTTGTAAGAATTGCGACGGTCGGCATTAAGGGGAGAAGAACGAACGCGGCCGTGGAAATGAGCTGAATAAGAAGATGTCCTGCTGTGAGGTTAGCTGTAAGTCGGACTCCTAGAGCTAATGGGCGAATAAACAGGCTAATTGTTTCGATAATAATCAATACGGGAATAAGCAGGGTAGGGGTTCCCTCTGGAAGTAGGTGGCCTAAGGCGACGGTGGGTTGGTTTCGCAGGCCAATAATAACTGTGGCTAGCCACAGGGGAACTGCGAGGCCTAAGTTAAGTGACAGTTGTGTTGTAGGGGTGAAGGTATAAGGAAGAAGGCCAAGCATATTTAGGGTAATAAGAAAGAGTATAAGGGAGGCAAATAAGAGGGCTCATTTATGGCCCCCGGTGTTTAAGGGAAGAAGCAGTTGTTGTGTAAACCGGTTGATAGATCAGCCTTGAAGGACAAGTAAGCGGTTGGACAGCCACTGAGAGGAGGCAGTGGGGAAGAGAACCCAGGGGAGCGCAAGTGCTACAGCGATAAGGGGTAGGCCTAGGAGAGTAGGGCTTAAGAATTGATCAAAGAAGCTTAGAATCATGGCCAGAATCAGGAGTGTCCTTCGGGTTTTTCTAAGCCTCGGAGGTAGTTGTGGTTAGGGTAAACGTAAGACAGAATTTTTAGGGGAACAATGGCTAGCAGAACTAGTCAGGCGTAGATTAAAATAGTAAATCACGGGTTCGGGTAGAGTTGTGGCATCTATCGCTAGGGGTGGTTGGGAGGCACCAATCTTTAGCTTAAAAGGCTAACGCTTAACCCTATTTAGCTTCTTAGCGAGGCATCCTCAAGTATTAGTGATGATCAGGTTTCAAAGTGTTTTAGTGGGACTGCCTCAATAACAATGGGCATGAAGCTGTGGTTAGCGCCGCAAATTTCGGAACACTGCCCATAGAAGACCCCTGGACGGGATGAAATAAAAGCTGTTTGATTTAGTCGACCTGGGACTGCATCTATTTTTACACCTAGCGCTGGAATTGCTCATGAGTGTAGAACATCCTCAGCAGTAACTAGTACTCGCAAGGGGGACTCTACTGGAACTACTATTCGATGGTCGGCTTCTAATAGGCGGAATTGTCCAGGGGCCAGGTCTTGTGTGGGCACTATATATGAGTCAAACCCGAGATCTTCATAATCTGTGTATTCGTAGCTTCAGTATCATTGGTGGCCTACGGCCTTAATTGTTAGATGGGGGTCGTTAATTTCGTCTATAAGGTATAGAATACGAAGTGAGGGCAGGGCGATGAGGATCAAGATCACTGCTGGAAGGACTGTCCAGATGATCTCAATCTCCTGAGAGTCTAAGAGAAATTTATTGGTTAGTTTGGTTGAGACCATAGCTATAATTATATATAGGACTAATGTGCTGATTAGGAACACAACTATGAGGGCGTGGTCGTGAAAGTGTAAAAGTTCTTCTATGACAGGTGAAGCTGCATCTTGAAAACCTAGCTGTAAGGGATGTGCCATTATGATAAGATGCGCGGGAGTTTAACCCACAATTCTGCCTTGACAAAGCAGTGTAATTTGGTTTTACTAGCGTCTTTTTTATTCTCTGTAAGATTGTGACAGAGAGGAAATGTGGTTGCTTTGAAGCCAATATACGGGGGTTCGACTCCCCCTGATCTTGTTATACCGCCTGAGTCTGCACGTATGCGGGCTCTTCAAAGGTGTGGTAAGGAGGAGGGCAACCGTGAAGTCATTCTACGTTAGTAGAGGTTATTTCAACGGATAATACTTCACGCTTGGCTGCAAAGGCTTCTCAGATGAGTATAAGGAATATAATTACGGCGACGAGAGAAACAAGAGAGCCGATGGAAGAGACTGTGTTTCAAAGGGTGTAGGCGTCAGGGTAGTCGGAGTATCGGCGAGGCATTCCTGCTAGGCCGAGGAAGTGTTGTGGGAAGAAGGTTAAGTTAACGCCTGCAAACATAATTCCAAAGTGAATTTTTGTTCAAGTGCTGTGAAGGGTGTAGCCTGAAAATAGGGGGAATCAATGGACAAAGCCGGCAATGATAGCAAATACAGCCCCTATTGATAACACGTAGTGGAAATGGGCTACTACATAGTATGTATCGTGAAGCACAATATCTAGGGAAGAATTGGCTAGAACAATGCCAGTTAGGCCTCCAACTGTAAACAAGAAAATAAAGCCCAAGGCCCATAAAAGGGGTGTATCTCATTTAACTGACCCTCCGTGAAGAGTTGCCAGCCAGCTGAAGACTTTCACGCCAGTTGGAATTGCGATGATTATAGTTGCGGATGTGAAGTATGCACGGGTATCAACATCTATACCTACAGTAAACATGTGATGTGCTCAAACAATAAACCCTAGGAGGCCAATCGCTATTATTGCTCAGACCATGCCTATGTAGCCAAAGGGCTCTTTTTTACCGGAGTAGTAGGCTACAATATGGGAGATCATCCCAAATCCGGGAAGAATAAGAATATATACTTCCGGGTGACCGAAGAATCAGAAAAGGTGTTGGTAGAGGATGGGGTCCCCTCCTCCCGCAGGGTCGAAGAAGGTAGTGTTTAGATTTCGGTCTGTGAGTAACATAGTAATTCCGGCTGCAAGGACTGGGAGAGAAAGAAGCAAAAGGACGGCTGTAATTAGAACTGCTCAGACAAATAAAGGGGTCTGATATTGGGAGATGGCAGGAGGCTTCATGTTAATAATAGTTGTGATGAAATTAATGGCTCCTAAAATCGAGGAGATCCCGGCTAGGTGGAGGGAGAAAATTGTTAGGTCTACAGATGCTCCTGCATGTGCAAGGTTGCTTGCAAGAGGGGGGTAAACGGTTCAGCCAGTTCCAGCCCCGGCTTCGACACCTGAAGAAGCTAGAAGGAGGAGGAAGGATGGGGGAAGCAGTCAAAAACTTATGTTGTTCATTCGGGGAAATGCCATATCTGGCGCCCCGATCATTAGAGGAATTAGTCAATTCCCAAACCCTCCAATCATAATTGGCATTACTATAAAAAAAATCATTACAAATGCATGTGCGGTAACGATTACATTGTAGATCTGGTCATCCCCAAGGAGGGCGCCCGGTTGGCTTAGCTCTGCTCGAATAAGGAGGCTTAAAGCAGTGCCCACTATACCAGCTCAAGCGCCAAATACTAGATATAGGGTACCGATGTCTTTGTGATTAGTAGAAAAAAATCAACGGGTGATTGTCACAGGTAAGATGGCTGAGAGTTAAGCGGTGGATTGTAGCCCCATGAACAGAGGTTTAAGTCCTCTTCTTATCAAGCCCCGAGGTGTTTTACATATTGAATTGCAAATTCAAAGTAGCAGACTAACCCCCTGCCGGGGCTTTCCCCGCCTCTTTTTCCCGACAGGCGGGGAAAGTTAGATAGAGGCCTGCTGGTTTGGGCGCTTAGCTGTTAACTAAGAGATTGTAGGGTCAAGGCCTGCCTATCTAGAAAGGCTTTAGCTTAATTAAAGTACCTGCTTTGCACGCAGGGGCTGTGGGTTAATGTCCCGCAAGTCTTATCAGAGACTGGGAGATTCTCACTCCCGCTAAGGGCTTTGAAGGCCCTTGGTCTAAATGTTATACCTAAGTCCCTAAAGAGTAAATAAGGCTGTTAGAGGGGGGGTTAGGGGAAGTAAGGTTAGAGTAATAACTATTGAAATGGCTAGTGGGAGAGAGTACTGTGCAGAGGATAGTCGTCAGGGGATTATTCCTGTCAGGTTGTTGGGGGATATTGTCAGGGTTATTGCATATGATAGGCGGAGGTAAAAGTATAGGCTAAGTAAAGCACTTAATGCGGCTAGTGTTGCTGTGGGGGCAAGGTCTTGTTTAGTTAGTTCTTGTAGGATTAATCATTTAGGCATGAAGCCGGTGAGTGGGGGCAGTCCTGCCAGGGAGAGAAGTATAAGGGGGGCGAGGGAAGTGATTACAGGGGTTTTTGCTCAAGAGGCGGCGAGGGTGTTAATGTTTGTGGCTTTATTTAGGTTGAAAGTGAGGAATGTTGAAAGTGTTATTACTAGATAAGTAATTAGGGTTAGAAGGGTCAGGGAGGGGGCGAACTGGAGGACTAGGACTATTCAGCCGAGATGGGCGATGGAGGAATATGCTAAGATTTTTCGTAGCTGGGTTTGGTTTAAGCCCCCTCATCCTCCTACAAGGGTGGAGGTTAAACCTAAAATGATAAGTAGTGAGGAGTTTGTAGGTTGAAGTTGTAAAAGAAGAGCGAGGGGGGCAAGTTTCTGTCAGGTTGACAAAATTAACCCTGTAATAAGGTCTAATCCTTGAAGAACTTCTGGTAGTCAGGCATGAAGGGGGGCGAGGCCGATTTTTAAGGCGAGAGCAATAGAGGCCAGGGTGGTTGGGAGTGGGTGGTATATAAGTTGAATATCTCACTGGCCGGTTAGTCAAGCGTTGGTAAGACTTGCAAATAACAATATGGCGGCAGCGGTGGCTTGAGTTAGAAAGTATTTGGTGGTGGCTTCAATAGCTCGGGGATGATTGTGTTGGGCTATTAAGGGGATAATTGCAAGAGTATTAATTTCTAGTCCCATTCAAGCGAGCAGTCAATGTGAGCTAGCGAAGGTGAGGGTGGTGCCAAGACCGAGTGAGAACAGCAAGGTAGCCAGGATGTAGGGGTTCATTAGTAGGGGATGGAGTTGAACCATCGTGATTGGGGTATGGGCCCAATAGCTTGACGTTAGCTGACCTTACTAGGAAGTGGTGTAGTGGAAGCACTGAGAGTTTTGATCTCTCCGGGTAGGGTTCGACTCCCTTCTTTCTAAGGAGCTGGGAGGATTTTAACCTCCATAATCCACTCTATCATAGTGGCCCTTTGTTTCAGGCACAACTCCGGAGTTAGTGTTGAGGGGGGATGCCTCCAAATGCGGTAGGGCTGGCTAGGTGTCAAATAATTAAGGCTAGCGTGATTGGGAGGTAGTTTTTTCAAATGAGGTGCATAAGTTGGTCGTATCGAAATCGGGGGTAAGAGGCTCGAACCCATAAAAAGACTACTGAGAGTAGGGCTGCTTTAATTATTAAGTTAATTGTAGTGAGCTCTGGAATAAGGGGTATGTGGGAGGCCCCTAGGAATAGAATTGTTGAGAGAGTATTTATGAAGAGAATATTGGCGTATTCGGCCAGGAAAAATAAGGCGAAGGGGCCTCCTGCATATTCTACGTTGAAGCCGGAGACCAGCTCGGATTCACCCTCAGTTAAGTCAAAGGGGGCGCGGTTAGTTTCAGCAAGGGTGGAGGTGAATCATATTGCTGCTAATGGTCAAGCAGGAAGAAGCAGTCAAATAGCCTCTTGCGCGGTGTTAAATGTGAGAAGGGTGAAGCCCCCTGTGAAAATAATTACGCTTAGAAGAATTAAGCCTAGACTAACTTCGTAGGAAATAGTTTGGGCTACGGCACGTAAGGCTCCAATAAGGGCGTATTTTGAATTAGAGGCTCAGCCTGACCCTAAAATAGAATACACCGCGAGACTGGATAAGGCTAGGATAAATATAATGCCTAGGTTGAGGTCAACTATGGGGTGTGGGAGGGGCAGGGGGGCTCACAGGGTTAGTGCTAGTGTAAGGGCTAATATAGGGGCAAGGAGAAAGAGGATGGGGGAGGAGGTTGCTGGGCGTACGGGCTCTTTAATAAATAGTTTGACTCCGTCGGCAATGGGTTGAAGGAGGCCGTAAGGCCCTACAATATTTGGACCCTTTCGGAGTTGTATGTAGCCTAGTACTTTGCGTTCGAGGAGCGTTAAAAAAGCAACGGCTAGGAGGACGGGTACTATCAAGATTAATGGGTTGATTAAGTAAGTGGTGAGTATTGATAGCATAGTTAAGAAGAGGATTTGAACCTCTGTAAAAAGGGCTTAGATCTTTTGCAGAACCCGGGCTATGCCATCTTAACTATCGTATTGGGGTCTTCTTCTGGAAGAATATTTGAACCAGCCTACGGGCATTGTGGGTGTGCCTTTTAAGATACTATTTTCTCTAGTTGAATAATTATGCCCTTTTGTCTAATTTAGTTGAATTCATTAGGTAAGGGGGGAGGCGCGCTATTGGTGTGGGCCTCTTCTTTTCGGTCCTTTCGTACTAGAAAAGATAAAGTCATAGATAGAAACCGACCTGGATTACTCCGGTCTGAACTCAGATCACGTAGGACTTTAATCGTTGAACAAACGAACCCTTAATAGCGGCTGCACCATTAGGATGTCCTGATCCAACATCGAGGTCGTAAACCCCCTTGTCGATATGGGCTCTAAAAGGGGATTGCGCTGTTATCCCTAGGGTAACTCGGTTCGTTGATCGGCAATGCCGGATCATTAATTGGTCAGAATTTCTGTTCCTTAGAGCGGGAGCTCTAGGTTGAAGGAGGGGTGCTCCTATTCCTCATGGGGGTTTTGTTTTACCCCACGGTCGCCCCAACCAAAGACGCTGGAAAGGTTTATCTCTAGTTCCGCCCTTTATTTTGGGTTGATTAAGATAATCTGTCTTGTGTCTAAAGCTCCATAGGGTCTTCTCGTCTTATGTGTTAATCCCCGCTTCTGCACGGGGAGATCAATTTCATTGACTTGAGAAAGGAGACAGTCAAGCCCTCGTTATGCCATTCATACAGGTCTCCATTTAAAAGACAAGTGATTGCGCTACCTTCGCACGGTTAAGATACCGCGGCCGTTAAACATATAGTCACAGGGCAGGCGGGACCTCTTATTCATAAGTTTGCAAGAGGCGATGTTTTTGGTAAACAGGCGAGGCTTGTGTTTGCCGAGTTCCTTCTTTCTCTTTTAGCCTTTCTCTGAAAGCACTCCAGTGTGGGGTTAACGATGGTTTTTGAATGGTTTTCTAGTTTTTTATTCATAATTCAGTTCCCTCTTTTATTGGGGTCGTTAAGGCTCGGCGGGGGGTCCGTTCCGAGTTACACGTGTGCGGGAGAGAGGGCTGGAAAGTGCCCTCTTATTACTCATTTTAGCATAAACTCTTCTATGTTTGCATAGAAAGGCCTGGTAAATTTAGGGGGTTGTGATTAGGATATCAAAATATAAGGGGTAAGCATGTCTGAGCTTTAACGCATTCTTTAAGGATGGCTGCTTTTAGGCCCACCAGAATACTATGCCTTGAATTATGTGATCATTACCCACCTTAGAAAGTTGTATCTTGTGTCAAAGGGGCTGTACCCCCTTTGACTAACTCCCACGGTTTCTGTTGTGTCGGTTGAAGGGCGGGGCCCTTGAATATTATGTGTTGACGGAAGAATCCGAGAGGCTGAACTCCTATCCAGTTCCCAGGCAACCAGCTATAACTAGGTTCGATAGGTCTGTCACTCCTACTCGAAGGTCTTCCCACTCTTTTGCCACAGAGACGGGTGTGCCCTATAAATTAGGCTGCCTTGGAGTAGCTCACCTAGTTTCGGGGAATCAAACTAAAGTGCTCTTTGCTTGAATTTTACTAACTAAATCATGATGCAAAAGGTACGAGGAGAAAACTCTGCTTTTTTTAGCTTTACTGGTTTGTTTCATTTCTCTTTCAGCGTTCCCTTGCGGTACTTTTTCTATAGCTCCGCGGTCCCCTTTTCTGTCGCCCATACTAAGGGGGAAAAATGATTTGTTTTGCGGTTAAATTGTGTGTTAGGGGGTATTAATAGGGTTTGTTGTTTTTAGGTGAGGGGGCTAGCTTTTGGGCGTCAGCGTAATCTGATTTGCACAGATGTCTTCTCAGTGTAAGGGAGATGCTTTACTGTCTTAGCCATACTCTGATTATCCAAGCACACCTTCCGGTACGCTTACCATGTTACGACTTACCTCCCCTTTGCAATTTTTAGCGTATTAATTATGTTTAATAGGTAGACTTGGGGAGAGTGACGGGCGGTGTGTACGCGCTTCAGGGCCGAGTTCAGCAGGACACTCTACTTTCTGCTTACTACTAAATCCTCCTTCAGTGCACACATTTCAGTGTGCCATTCGTATTCCCTGGGGCAGGGAATGTAGCCCATCTCTTCCCCTTCCATAGGCTACACCTCGACCTGACGTTTTAGGCAGTGCCAATTATGCTTACTTTAGTACCTTCATAGGGTAAGCTGACGACGGCGGTATATAGGCTGATAAAGGCTAGGAAGGGTGAGGTTGAACGGGGATTATCGGTTCTAGGACAGGCTCCTCTAGGTGGGTCTAAAGCACCGCCAAGTCCTTTGGGTTTCAAGCTAATGCTCGTAGTGCCCGGGCGGACAGTGGGGGTAAACAACTGTCTATGTTTAAGGCTAAGCATAGTGGGGTATCTAATCCCAGTTTGTGCCTTAGCTTTCGTGGGGTCAGGTTTGAGTAAAGCTACTTTCGTAATTGATCTTCTTACTCTCAGTACGTATAACTGCTCTAAGAGCGTTCGGCTTTAGTATAAAAGTTGGGCCCTTAACCACGCTTTACGCCGATGTCTATCAACTTGAGCCTCCCGTTTAACCGCGGTGGCTGGCACGAGATTTACCGGCCCTATTTAACTTTAATTAAGTCAAGCTTTCACTTATGGCTTAATGTTTATCACTGCTGGAATTCCCCGTGGGGGTGTGGCTAAAGCAAGGTGTCATGGGCTACTGAGAGTGTGCCTGATACCAGCTCCTCGTTCCCGGGCGGGGAACTGTGGGCATCTTCACCGGAGTGCGGATACTTGCATGTGTAAGTCTAGTTAAAATTGATAGAAAAGTCAGGACCAAGCCTTTGTGTCCACAGAACTTTTTAGGGTTCATCTTAACATCTTCAGTGTTATGCTTTAATTAAGCTATGTTGAC